AGTCAGTGTTCCTGTGTAATGACAATAGTGTTTCTAATTAACGATAAGTCAGTGTTCCTGTGTAATGACAATAGTGTTTCTAATTAACAATAAGTCAGTGTTCCTGTGTAATGACAGTAGGGTTTCTATGGAGCGATAAGTCAGTGTTCCTGTGTAATGCCAATAGTGTTTCTATGTAACGATAAGTCAGTGTTCCTGCGTAATGACAATAGTGTTTCTATGTAACGATAAGTCAGTATTCCTGTGGAATGACAGTAGGGTTTCTATGTAACAATAAGTCAGTGTTCCTGTGTAATGACAATAGTGTTTCTATGTAACGATAAGTCAGTATTCCTGTGGAATGACAGTAGGGTTTCTATGTAACGATAAGTCAATGTTCCTGTGTAATGACAGTAGTGTTTCTATGTAACAATAAATCATTGTTCCTGTGTAATGACAGTAGTGTTTCCATGTAACAATAAGTCATTGTTCCTGTGTAATGACAGTAGTGTTTCCATGTAACGATAAGTCAGTGTTCCTTTGTAATGACAGTAGTGTTTCTATGTAACGATAAGTCAGTGTTCCTGTGTAATGACAATAGTGTTTCTATGTAACGATAAGTCAGTGTTCCTGTGTAATGACAATAGTGTTTCTATGTAACGATAAGTCAGTGTTCCTGTGTAATGACAATAGTGTTTCTAATGTAATGATACGTCAGTATTCCTGTGGAATAACAGTAGGGTTTCTATGTAACAATAAGTCAGTGTTCCTGTGGAATGATAGTAGGGTTTCTATGTAACAATAAGTCAGTGTTCCTGTGGAATGATAGTAGGGTTTCTATGTAACAATAAGTCAGTGTTCCTGTGGAATGACAGTAGGGTTTATATGTAACAATAAGTCAGTGTTCCTGTGTTATGACAATAGTGTTTCTATGTAACGATAAGTCAGTATTCCTGTGGAATGACAGTAGTGTTTCTATGTAACGATAAGTCAATGTTCTTGTGGTATGGTGATTCAGTTTTTCGTTCATTTGTAAAGTATTCTTCCTTAGAAATTTTTATTAGATAGAGAATCATGGCTGAAATTGTTTTTTTCTGAAAATCATATATCTTGAATTTTATTATTGATATACAATTTCAAAATTCTTGTTGAAGTGTTAAGTTTAGAATTTCGGTAAACGGTGGAGAATTTAGAAAGTTGAAGTTTTAGGTTTTTAGAGTTTCTTTATGTAATAAAGAATGTAGATAGTTGAAATGTTAGATTTCTAGTATTTCTCTATACGGTAGAGAACTAAGATAGTTGAAATGTTAGATTTCTAGTATTTCTCTATGCGGTAGAGAACTAAGATAAAATACTAGAAATCTAACATTTCAACTATCTACGTTCTCTACCGCATAGAGAAATACTAGAAATCTAACATTTCAACTATCTACGTTCTCTACCGCATAGAGAAATACTAGAAATCTAACATTTCAACCTCTATACGGTAGAGAACGTAGATAGTTGAAATGTTAGAATTCTAGTATTTCTCTATACGGTAGAGAAAGTAGATAGTTGAAATGTTAGATTTCTAGTATTTCTCTATACGGTAGAGAACGTAGATAGTTGAAATGCTAGATTTCTAGTATTTCTCTATGCGGTAGAGAAAGTAGATAGTTGAAATGTTAGATTTCTAGTATTTTCTTATGCGGTAGAGAACGTAGATAGTTGAAATGTTAGATTTCTAGTATTTCTCTATACGCTAGAGAACGTAGATAGTTGAAATGCTAGATTTCTAGTATTTCTCTATACGGTAGAGAACGTAGATAGTTGAAATGTTAGATTTCTAGTATTTCTCTATACGGTAGAGAATGTAAATAGTTGAAATGTTGAGTTTAGAGTTTTTCTATATGGTCGAGAATCTAGATAGTTAAAGAGTTAAGTTTTTGGAGTTTCGTTTCGATAGACGAAGAATCTATATAGACAATATAACAAAGCTAGAAGTTATACATGGACTTCAGAAATTTAGATTATTTTAATATAAAATAAATATATACAGTCCCTTGCAAAGTTCCACATTTTGTTCATGAAACTTTGAAATGGGACTTTATATTTAGAATCTACACAATCTACTCCAAACTAAGAAAGCTAAAAAACGCTGATATTACGTATGTAAGTTAGATTTTCAAATAAAATTAGAATATTCTCAATTGCATAAGTATTCAACCGTTTTGCTACGACAACATAAAATCGGTTCAGGTACAAAAGGTCACCAAATTAGTGTAATGGTCTGTGTGTAATCAAAGTGGTTTAAATTGACTTCAGAGTAAATGCATCTGTTGAAGACACAATGGTCAGGTGTTTAGGGCGCTCGACTCGCAATCTGAGGGTCGCGGGTTCGAATCCCCGTCACTCCAAACATGCTCGCCCTTTCAGCCGTGGGGGCGTTATAATGTTACGGTCAATCCCACTATTCGTTGGTAAAAGAGTAGCCCAAGAGTTGGCGGTGGGTAGACACGAGGGCTATCTGCGCTAACCGTCCCTAATTTAGCAGTGTAAGACTAGAGGGAAGGCAGCTAGTCATCAAATTTCGCGCAAAGCTCCAAAACAAACAAACAATCGTCAGTAGTTCAAAATTAGGGACGACAGCAGGTAGCTTTAGCAGCTTTGCCAATAGTACAAAATACAAATAATTAACTGACAAAAAAAAACAACAAAAAACTTATATGTCTTTCAAATTTAATTTTATCCTTTTCAGAGTTCTGGGTCCGTTATCGAATTCTTACGACTTCGCACGAGCCTATAATTGTCCTATCGGAAGTAGGATGAATCCCGTGACAAAATGTTCGGTGTGGTGAAGCTATCGCAATCGTATTTCTCATCGGAAGAGGGAGACCTAGCACCTGTGTATTTAAAGCCAAATTCGAGACTTGGAAACTTTCAAACAAACCCTGCAAAAATAGAAATGAAAAAAAAAACTAAATAGGAAGAAAGTATCACGTACCCAAAAGACCGGTTTTCTTCATATTTTAAAAGTCGAAAAGAAGAAGATAAGAAATGCATGGTACTATAGTTTAATTCTTTTTCGAGAAGTTTACTTTCATGGAAATTACATGCTTTAGTTTGTTTGTTTTTCCTACGTCACATTGAAAATTTCTAACACAACATGTTTTATCGAAAGAAGTTTTTGAAATCACTTGTTTTAACCAGGACCGGATTAAGCCCACATTAGGCCTATTGATAACTTCAGTTTTGTGGGCCCTTCTTTCTCCAAAAGCCCGCGATGTTTTTATTTTTTTATATTTAAATTTTACCCATCAAAACGGTCAGTTATCAAACGTAATGCTTTTGAAATGCTACAGTTCCAATTTAAATATATATATATATATATATATCTGAGGAGGCTATTAAGACCAAAGCATAGCCTTGAGACCATGGGCTTCATAGTTAATTGCCTTGGTTAATCCGGCCCTGGTATAAATTGAACATAAGAAAACAAAACTCGAGGTTTTCCTTGAAAATATTGTTTTGTCAGCCAATCATTTTGCCCTTTTGAAGGTCACGTGGCACAAATGACACCAATTAAAGCTTCTTTTTGGAGCCTGCTAAGCCATTGGACATCTACAGTTCTCTTCTGTCGTATTTATTCATAAGTATTGTGTGTTATCTACATATACTTCATTAAAAAATCCCTTTAATTCAAACTATTCAACTTATTGTTCGCAAATGCTTGTATTTTGAATGTTTCCTAATCGTGATAATTATTATTGTATTACATTTATAAATTTACTCATTTGCTGTAAATTCAGTCTCAGAGAATTGGGTAGTTCCTTTTTCTTTCAGAAGGGGACTGAAAAATAGTGACACCAAAACAACAAAGTCTCAGTATTTCTAGAAGTCTTCTTGAACCAAACTTTACTTATCATAAACATACCAGTTTAAAAGATATAACCCGAACTATCTGCAATCGGTTAATACCATAAGGGTTTCTAGGTTTAAATAATCATAAACATATCAGTTTAAAAGATATAACCCGAACTATCTGCAATCGGTTAATACCATAAGGGTTTCTAGGTTTAAATAATCATAAACATATCAGTTTAAAAGATATAACCCGAACTATCTGCAATCGGTTAATACCATAA